GGGTGATGCGAAAGACGCGCCGGCCACTTCCGCGAAACCCCGGGTAGAGTGACGGCTCCGGAACGTTCCTCCTGGGACGCCTGTTGCCGGGGGGAGGGTAATGCGCGCGCACGCTGCGTCCAGTGTGCAGACAGTGAATGGTTCCCGCTCCTTGCGCCGGGCGGAGCAGGTAGGAGACGCGCCGGGGACAGAGCAGCTTGCGGGTCCGTGCGGGAGTGTAGCGCCCGAGACAGATGTTCAGCCCTGTGGCGGCGCGTGGATTTGCGGCCTGGCGGGGGGGGCCGGGGGGCTGTCAGGTTGGGGGCGGGGCAAAATGAGCGTGTCCGAAAGCGGGAGAGGGCTCTGGGGTGAGCCCGGCGGTTGGGTGTGCGAGAGACTCAGGGCAGGAGGTGCGGGGTCCTGGGTTTGGGTGGGAGGTTGTGCGGGAAGGAGCTCGGGGCTGAGGCAGAGAAATGCGGTGGGGGAGTGGGGTGCTTTATTTTTGGTAGCCCAGACTCTGGGGAGGGGAGGAGAGAGGGCAGGAGACAGTTGTATGTTGCCCTGCTCTGGCCTGCAGACACTGTCCTCCATCGCTTCCATTTGCCATGATTTATCTACAATGGGAGCTTCTGGTGCTTTGCAGCTCCATCGCGGTGGTAGTGGAGGAGGAACTGGAGTGCACAGAGCTGCCTTTCCCCCTCAGTCTTTCAGGGCTAAAACGTAAGGGCTTTAGTGGCTGCAACCTAGAGCCCCAGGTGGAGGGGGTCTTGCAAAAAACCCTGTGCGTTGGCATCCTGAAGATCTTTTGGGGGGCCCCCTTAGCCCGGGGCCCTAAGCTGCAGCTCCTAAAGCCCCTTTCTTAATGTAACCCTGCCTAAAGGCATGGCCATCAGTGTCCACCCATGTTGCTCTAGCTGGTTTTGTATCAGGCTGGGCAGGGTTATCTTCTTTTAAATGCACTGGGATGCTTGTGATCATCCTATTGCTCAACCTGTATATAGTTGCATAGGCACTTTAATGTTTAATTGTGATAGGGATTCCCCTTAATATATTTGAACATATGATCTTTGTATGAATGAACTTAATAGCATTCTATCCAATATGCACTCAGATTTCCACATATGGTTAAGGTGGGTGCCATTATACATTCATCGGCTTTAAAGTCAAAAGGTCTAGGGAGAATTTTGTGTCACAGTGCATTTGCAGCTCTCCCCCTCTGCCTGACTATTTGATTTCCCTGCAGAATTATAGATTCTGATGGGGAAGCAAAGAGAAGATGAGAGAAGGGTCATATGCCCCTGCTGAAGCCTGTCAGTTCTGGAGCAACTAGGAAATGCGTAAATCATTGGTGGGAACATGCATGCGAGACACTCTCTTGCTGACTATCCCAGTGCATGCAGGAGGTGTGTGCTTCTTACTCCCATTGTTGCACCCACCCGATGTTAACATTGAGTTACACGTGACCGTGCTGTTCGTAAGCGCTGATTGCGTTCGTAACTCGGGGTTTGCCACATTGAGTTGTTTTGGTCGTAACTGCAAACGGTCGTAAGTCGACCGTTCACAACTCGGGGACCATCTGTAACTTTATGAATTCGTATTGGTTAGTCGACTATTCTGTAGTCTCTGGGGCAGGAGCTGGCAGCCAGTGTACTCCAGCCTCACTCCCGAGGAGCCCCTGGCCACTCCGTGCTGCTGCCTGTGATAGAGGCAGCAGTACGGGGTAGCAGAAGCCACTGTCTGGGGTGGGTCTGAGCTCCTACACCCAGGGTGATAACATATAAGCTTTTGCTTATTGGTTAATTGACTACAGTATTATATCCCTGCCCTGCAAAGGTATAGAGCTGAGACAAACAGCTGTGAAGAGCCTTGGCCTTGAAGTGGGGCACCTGTGTCTCCTCAGTTTTGCACCAGAGGTCTATTAGCCATGCATGACCCAACCCCATGAATCCTCTGTAGTAATGTAGGACTTATCTTCGCTACCATACTAAATCAGTGCCGCTGCAGTGCATCTGGTGAAGATGCATTATGTTGATGAGAGAGCACTCTCTGATCCACCTAATTACTCCACTGTAAAAGAAGAAGTTATGTGGGAGATTGTCTCCTGTAGGAACTGCTTTAAATGCATTTAAGTTATGTTCCTCAGGGATGGTTTTTTCCACACTGCTTAGCAACTGAGCTTATATCGACTTAAGCAGTAGCATAGATAAGTCATTAGAGTTGTCCGCATCCCATATTGGGGGGAGGGATAGCTCAGCAGTTTGAGCATTGGTCTGCTAAACCTAGGGTTGTAAGTTCAATCCTTGCAGAGGCCATTTAGGGATTTGGGGCAAATATTTGTCAGGGATGGTACTTGATCCTACTGTGAAGGCAGGGGACTGGACTCAATCACCTTTCAAGGTCCCTTCCAGTTCTACAAGATAGGCAATCTCCATTAATTTTATCCAGCAATTGGGGATATTTGGTAATAAGGCACAGATGGGTCACCTGCCAGTGTAGGCAGTCTCATCACATGGACTCCTGTGTAAATTTACCAGTCTGTCTAAAAGTCGGTTGTTTTTCATCCCCACTGTAATCTTGGGAGAACTTTACTCCTCTGATAGATTTCAAATCTACATTTGTTGTTGGTCAGTTAGTATTGATTTGTCTCAGTGCCAGCACTGACCAGTAACTTAAATAATTCCTCTTTTTCCCTTGTATATATCCCTCTGATGTATTTATAGAGAGCAATCATATCTCCCCTCAGCCTTTGTCTTGTTAGGCTAAGTAAGTGAGGCTCCTTGAGTCTCCTCTTGTAAGGTAGGTTTTACAGTCCTCTGATTTAGTGACACAAATGCTTAACTAGTAAGCCTCACCCTTAATGGGCTTATAGTTTTTGGATGTATTTTTTTCTTAAAAATAGTAACTATATTAGAAATTCTCCAATCATAGGATATGATCCCCGAGTTTATGGATTCGTTAAAAATCCTTGTCATGGGGTATGCAATTTCATATGCCAGTTTCTGTAATAGTCCTGAATGGGGATTATCTGGGCCCCTGGTTTGGTCTCATTAAGATGTTTAAGTTTATTCAGACTTCTACCCTGGATGTGATTATTTTTACTTCCATTACCTCATTTTCATCAATTACACTGACAGTACCCTTAAGCTCCTTGTTTTCTTTATTAAAAACGGAGGCAAAAAGTATTCTATTCAGTCAGCAATACTCAGGCCTTAGTGATTCAAGAGCCAAATTAGCAACCAACATTACTCAAAAGAGACATAGTAGTGTGAATTCATTGTTTAATTTGCTATAGTATTTCATTGTTTTCATTTGCTATAGTTGATATCGAAAGTTTTCTCATAGCAAATAAGTTAGTAATTGGTTAATAACATAGTAAAAGCATCTTGATTATTTAATAGCTTAGATTAGTTAATAGTTAAATCACACAGTGTGTAAATATCTTGCTGAAAAGAACAATGGGAGATGTCCCTTGTGAGCTGCAGTCTCAGTTTTGCTGGTTTAAGTGTAGGGCTATGCCTAGACTATCTAATCTCCACCCCATCCTCAGTGCTTAACTGTCCCTCTTCTTATTTCCTTGTTTTCTTTTTCTTTGTATAGCTATAGAACCTTTTATTTTGGGTTTTAATTTCCTTTTCTTGTTTTTTCTATACACTGACCTCCAAGAGTTAGGATAGATCAACAAGGAAAGCTATCTTCCATTCCATGTAGGCTTTCTGCTTTCTCTTGATAAACTGTTTGACATGTTAGCTCATCCAGTGTGGTCTGCAAGCCATCCTTTGCTTGGGATGGTGGCTTCAGGTACTTTAAGTAAAAAGTTGCAGAAACTAACTCCAACCCTCCTCCACCTTTACATCCTCGAGTTCTTCAGTTCAGTCTTCTTTTCCACCTAATTCCCTTAATTTTTTAAAGTTTGTCCTTTTGCAGTCAAGGACCCTAGTTGCAGATCTAGTTTTGTATATCCTTCAATTTAATTTAAACTGAATTAGCTCATGATTGTTTGAACTAAGACTGTCCTCTACACTGAGTTCTTCCATGAAGTCCTCACTACTTACCTATATTTTATCTAAAATGGCATCTCTTCTTGTTTTGGTGACTGGTGAAGAAATCTATCAGTTCTCACATCCAGGAGTATCTGGGTCCTGCCATTAATAGTAACACTTGTCCTCCAATCTATGCTTGAGAAATCAAAGACTCCCATAATCACACAATTTGCAGGAGTGTTTCATTAAAGATGCCTCTATTCATATCTAAATTGGATTCCAGGGTCTGTAGCTTATCCCAAGCACAATCACAATAGGGCCTCTTCTAGCTTTCTTCCCCAAAGTGATTTTGGGGAAACAGACTCTAGGGCTGTGTCTACATTGGCACCCCTTTCCGGAAAAGGGATGCTAATGAGACCAGTCGGAATTGCAAATGCCGCGGGGGATTTAAATATCCCCCACGGCATTTGCAATTCCGACTGGTCTCTTAGCATCCCTTTTCCAGAAAGGGGTGTCTATGTAGACACAGCCTAGGTGTCATTGTTGGAGTGGTTGCTGTGTCAGTACTAGATGGATTTCTTTTCCTAAGTAACTATCCTTGGGATTTCTGCTGCCCTGTCTACTGCAACTTCATTCCCACCCACCCTGTATTTCAGCTGTTACAGCAAGAACAGTAAACCTATGAATTGTTGGATTAAGGAAGAAACTGTCAACTGTGTGTGGATTTCTGTGAGCACTGTGAATTAGTGATTTGGAAAGAGGTCTATTTAATCATTAAAATTTATTCATGTGCTTCTGTCACAGCTCTCTCACACATCTATGCGTATGTTTGAAAAAATCTTCTTGCGTTGTGAATTAAATGTAAAACTGCTCTTTGGAATTTTGTGGGGGGAGTTTCATTTTATCGATTTCCTCCTCATTTCTTCTTGTTTTATTATATCCTGAGACCAGTGTTACTTTGAGTTGTGAGAAGTTTCATGAAATAGAATTAGATTAATAAGTTAGGTACTAAAAACTTTTACACACAAAAAAAGACCATGGTGAGACTTGAAATTTGTAGTTTCATTTCAGACTATACACTCTTTGCTTTAGGTACTATCTTTCCTGATGGCTCGCTGCACAGCGCAGGTAAAAGTGGGGATCTGCCACAAAAATAAAAGCATCATCATACCTATCTGTCCCCAACCCTCATCTGTTAAGCCCTTTCAGCTCTCTGTCAATTCTGTCTCTGGACCTGTTCTGCCTCCCAGTTTTGCCAGGCCTTGCATACATTTTGTGCCCCCAGCATCTGCTATGCCTGCAGTTCCTGGTGTTCTTCACCCTGTTCTCCTGGTCTGAGAGGAGCTGCATCAGGGAGGACCCTGCTTCTCAGGCCCGTTATTGCAGCGGGGGAAGGAGCAGATGATGGTATCCTGTTGCTCACAGGAGCGGAAAAGCAAGCAGCGCTACTCTGATTTGCTGGGCTTTCTTACTGGAAGGTGGAGTGTTCTGCTGGTTTCCTCAAGCTGCTCTGTCTCCAGATGTGGGAAAAGCAGCCAATCCTAGGGGGTTTCCCCCTGGTAGATGTTCTGCTGGTTTCCTCAAGCTGCTCTAATTGGCTTCTCTGTCTCCAGATGTGGGAAAAGCAGTCAATCCTAGGGGGTTTCCCCCTGGTAGGGAATCCTTCAGCAACTGAGCAAGAATTATAGAAAATTTCTGTTTTGGGTCTGTGATACCTTTCAGACAGGCACACTTGAAACACTATTTATACAGCACCTAACATGTTGGAACCCTGACTATTATTGGGATATAAAGGTGCCAATGAAAACACATATTTACAATGTTGAAAGTTGATTGGTAAACTTAGTACAATGATTTTGGGGAAGCTGGAAAGATGAGTTCATTTTTAAAGAGGAGTGATGAAATGCTTTTTCTTCCTTAGTGCCTCTTTTCTTTCCCAGGGCAGTGGTGGGGGGAGTGGAGGCCTACTGTTGATAATGGATGGACAGACTCAGTCTGGCTGTGTTCTTCTTCCTTACTTTACTTGCATCCATAGTGGGTGGAGGTCACCCAGGCAGCTCAAAAAAGTGGCTGAGCTGGAGACAGATACCATCCACAAGTGCTCTCATACTTATGATCCCCTAGCAGCATTTGTTTCTGGGCTCGCATCTGGTCCCAGATGCTGTACCTCTACTTTTTTAATGTATTAATGGCCACCGGGCTTTTACTACTTCTAAAAGGCAGAGGCGCAGTGTCTGGGACCGGGCACAAGCAGGAATCTGCTGATTCCTGGCTTACGCCCAGTCCCCCGCTACGCCTCTGCCATTTATTTGTATTAAGAGCCTGAGGGCTCTTAATATATTTAAAAGGCAGAGCCACAGTGGGGTTAGCTCCCCGCCATTGACTAATCAAGTAGTTGATGGAAATTGCATTGACTACTTGATGAGCTGATTAAGTGCAATTTAATATCCCTAATTGCAAGTGCTAGAAAATTCCTTATTTAAAAAAACAATAACCTGGGATAAGTAATGATACTCATGGAGTCCCGAAAACTGGGAAGGGGATAAGTGGGAAGGGAGGAACTAATGTTTGCATTGTAGGCTTTAAAGGACAGAACTATATAGTTGGTCGTCACTCAGTCATCTCTGCCATTGTTTGGATTTGAACATGTGGAGGTTTGCTTTTAGAATGAATTTCTTCTTTGGGATACATTGTTCAAAGGACTCTGCTTCTTCCCTGCCATCACCTACAATTGTATTAGATAGCATAATGCACCATAGACACAAGATGTGATAGCACTTGGTAGAAGTTTAGCATTTTCAGTCTAGGGATGTAAGCGACTAGTTGACTACCTGATAAGCAAATGCTTATTGGGTAGTCGAGTAGGAACTCGACTAGTCACTCTCCCCTCCCCTTGCTGCTTCTATCAGAGAGAGGCATCAAGGGGGGAGCACGAACCAGTGCTGGCGGGGAGCCGATTTCCCCTCTTCCCCCCCACCCCCCGCAACAGCTCCTTGGGGGCCAGGGAAGGCATGGGGCATCAGGGAAACGGCACGAGCGGGGATTGGAACAATCCCGCTTGCACTGGTCCCACTGCTGCTCCTCTCCCTTTGGAATGGCAAGAGCCACTTGCGACTTGTACATTTCAAAGGAAGAGGTACAGAGGGGAACCCCTGTCAGTGGGGATTGCTTTGCTTCTTGCTAGCATGGTTCCCACTGCCTCTCTCCCTTTGAAATATACAAGAGCTGTAGGCGACTCTTGTACATTTCAAAGGGAGAGGTGAAGTGGGATAGTGAGCTCCCCCCTTATTGAGTAGTCGATGGAAATTCCGTGGACTACTCAATTAGCTGATTAATTGAAATGTAACATCCCTAGTTCAGTCAGATTAGGAGTGTGTTACAGGAGTGAGTGGATGAGGTTCTGTAGGCTGCACTGTGTATGTGATCAGGCTAGATGGGCATGATGGATCCTTTAGACCGGGGTGGGCAATAATTTTTGGTGGGGGCCACTTCAAGATTTTGGAAAGTGGTCAAGGGCTGCACTTTTCTGTGGAGTTTGTGCAGGTTCTAGAATGGAGGTTGGGCACAGAATGGCACACAGGGTAAGGGACTGGGATGCAGGAAATGGTGTGAAGTCTGAGAGTAGGTTTGGGCAAAGGAGGAGGTTGTGACCTGGGTCAAGGGATAGAAGTGTAGGGTCAGGGATGGAGTACGAGTGCAGGAGAGGATTCTGGCCTGGGAGAGGGGCACTAGAAGAGGGTGCAAAGTCTGGGAAGGAGCTGTGATGTGGGAAAAGGGGGTGCAGACTACAGAGAGTGCGTGTGGTGACCTGGGTCAGGGGATTGGGGTGCAGGATCAGGAAGGGTATTTGGGTGCAAGAGAGGATTCTGGCCTGGAAGAGGGTTGTCGGAGGGAGTTGACCCAGGCCAAGGAGGTGCAGAGGGTTTGGATGGAGACCTGGGGAGGGAGTTGAGGTGCAGGAGAGGCTGGGTGCCAGAGGCAGGCTCTGGCTGGGAGGTGCTTACCTAAGCCTGCAGCACCCCCTAGGCAGGCTGGGCTCCCTGCCTAATGCAGCCCCAAATCACTTAAAACTGCAAGCTCCAAACCCCACATGGCCCTTAGCTCCGGGAGTGGGAAGAGACTGCTCCCATCCTCCAGGCTAATTTCTCAGATCTTTTTATTGTTGTTATCTGGTTGTTTCCAGTCAATAGGAACTGAGAGATTGACTGTGGTCAGTTCCTATTGGCTCTTTTTTTCTGGCCGCTAGGAGCTCAGGGGCAGCCCTAGGCTAGCTGCCAGCAACTGGCGCCCTAGGCGAACCATGCAATCAGTGCCCCCACCTCCAAACCCCTCAATGATATTTCCCCATCATTTGGTGCCCCCTTTAACTTGGTGCCCTAGGCGACGGCCTAGTTCACCTATATGGACAGGCCACCCCTGGCTGAGGATTGGGCTGAGGGCAGGGAGATCGCACGTAGCCTCCCTCTTCCTGCGGAGCAGAGAGACACGGGTTCCGACAAGGTGGTCTGTGGGTTGGATCCAGTTGCGTTCCGGGCCAGATCCGGCCCCTGCTTTAGACCTTAAACTCCGAGTCTGTGTATTCCCTTCTCCCCTTCCTTCCCACACACTCCCAGCTATGCCAGTGTACCTGATAATTGGCCTTCAGCAGCAGAGCTATTTTCTTTTCAGTCAATAATCCTGTGACTACAAATAACGAACAAGTGTAATATGCAAAAATCGTCACTAGGAATAGGTTGACCTCACCAAGCAAATGATGCTTCTGCCCAAAGACAAAGCTGCATGCAGACCTTATGGGAATAAACTGGTGTAGTTATTCCAATGCTGTTCTGGTGTATGAATCCTTGTACCATTTTCATTGACTGTTTTTTCTAGGGAAGTTATTTGGGGGATGAGGCAGATATGTCTAATTTTGTTTTCTTCCATGCACATTACATTTAAAAAAAAGACATGAAACATGGAAATCACTTACTAACCCTATTTTATTTTGTTTTATTTTTAATTAGGATTATCCAGAATGTTTGCATTGACAGAAAAGAACAAATCCATTGCTCAGCTGTTATTGAATACTGGCACTTGCCCGCGATGTGTTTTCAGATTCTGCTGTGTGGGGTTACAGGCATCTTACAGGCATCCATACAAGGTTTCCTGATTTATTTTTAATTAAAATATATGAATATGAAATTGTAATTCAAAAAATTAAACATTTTCTTTGGGATAGTAGGACTTCTTGATTATTTGTGATTTATGTCAAATTATATTCAGATAGAAATTAAGATGAAATTAAAATGCCCAAAGCCAACTTTTTTGTTTTTTATTTAATAAAATTACCTTAAATATGCATTGTGTGCTTATCAAAAATTGTCACAATATGTTTTCTAATTCAAACTAACTTATTAAATGCAGGAAATATTTCCAGTTCGTAAATTGAATTGATTGTTTTTGGTCACCCTGTTCTTTAAGGTTTTACAACTAGTAGATCTCATCCTCTCACAACTAATTTTTATTCATTGATTGGAAGAGGAAAACAAACTTTCCAGCTTTTTCACCTTCTTATTGACGTCTTAATTTTGAATGAATTAGTCATTAAATTGAATTGAATTGGTTGAATAAACTGAAATGAAGAAAAACATATTCTCTGTACCTGCAGACTAAGCTACTGCTATCAAAATAAAGTTTAGTGCCTCAGCAAACTCTGGTTCCAGATGCTCAGTCAAGCGTTTCCATCAATTCAGTGGTTAGATTTTCTTTAAAATTTGACAGCAAATAAGTGCTGCTTAATATTGTTTTGAATTTAAGTGATTTTTATCAGATTATAAATTGTTTAGGCCTTAATACAGGTTGCCAATTTCATATTTAATTGTAAATAGGTTTATTTATAAAATATAAACTTTCGTTTTATTTAAATTTTAAAAATTCCTTTAAATAAAATGGGATATTTGATTTAATTTTAAAAATATCACTGATTTTTATCCACCCTCCTTGACCAGGGTTCCCTGTAAGTTTCGGGGCGGCATAGCTTGACAGTTGATTAATCAGCCCTGCCTAGTCAGTCAGCTCCATGCACAGAGCCTTCACAGCTTAGAGGGAACACTGTCCTTGATTAATTTGCCATTCACCAATACCTGTGTTCATTTCCTTCTCCTATAATTGTGCTACTCAGATCTCCTTAGAATCAGCTCTCCTTACTACTCCTTTGTATCTTCCCACTTCCCAGGTTAATTCATACTGCTCCTTTGCTTGAAATAGTTTTCCACTTCTGGTCTGTCAGTCTTCTCAGCTCTCTCTTTACTTTTTCAGATTCTTCCTTAAAACCCACTTTGTCAATGAATCCTCTCTTCTCCATTTCTGTCCATATCCTCTTTTATCTATGCTATTGCCTTCCTGTCTTGAAACTCTATTGTTGTTATCAATGTCTAATTCATAACGTCAGGAGATCTCAAAGTGTCTTATAAAGAAATTGAATGCCAGGTATCCGAAGGACGTGAAGGACTAGTCGATTATCTGATAAACAAATGTTTATTGGATGGTCGACAGGCTAGTCGACTAGTCTCTTCCCCCGCTCTCCTCCCCCCGCTGCCTCTATCAGAAAGAAGCAGCAAGCAGAGGGAAGAGGAGGGGGCGCTTCAAAGCGGCAGCACTACGTGGAGATTGGGGTCAGATACCAGGCTCCACAGAGCGCTGCCACTTTGAAATGCTGCATGCAGCCCGGGGTCCCCAGTTGGCCTCAGGCTGCATGCGGTGTTTCAAAGCGGCAGCACTCCATAGAACCCAGGGTCAACTGGGGACTCCCTTGCTGACCCCAGGCTCTAGGTGGTGATGCCACTTTGAAATGCTGCGGGGATCCTGGCACCGGCCTCCCCATGGCATTTCAAAGTGGCAACGCCAAATGCAGCTGGGGCCAGCCTCAAAGGGGGAATGCCCTTATTGCATCATTGCATCGACTATTCTATTAGTCAATCGAAATTTAACATCCCTGATTCATCCCCATTTTACACATAGGTAAACCAAGCATGAAGTGATGTGCTCATAGTCACCCAGTAATCCAGATATAGAGCCAAATGTTAGAACCCAGGTCTCCCAAATTATATACAGTGTCCAGTCCTCTGGGCCACATTGCCTAGGTGGACAAGTGTGCCTGCCCGCTAACAGAAAATTAAATTGGGACAAGGAACATGCCTCACTCTTTGAAGTGCCATGTAACTTATTTCACTATGTAAGTGATTTCATCATAATAGTTTTGAGTTAATTTTTCTGAATGAAACAATTTTTTTCAATCTTTAGTATCAAGAAAAAGTTGGTTTTAGAATTAAAACCCACCAATTTGTCTATTTATAGCATCGTGGAGGCAGGACAAAAGGCTTAGTCCTGAGGAAGATAAGATGAATCTGGTTAGATGTAGAGGTGTAAAATATCTATATACTGTAACTGGGATGTACCTTTCCAGCCCCGGTGCTGGGGCACCTGCTGCCCTAGGCTGCAGGCTCTGCTAAACCCACCCCTGGGGAGCCAGCTCCCCCATACTGCGGGCTCTGCAGCCAGTGGCCCAGGAGTGGGCAGAATTTAACTGGCAACAAACAGGTATCAGCATCAGCTTATCGGTAACCTCTTAAACTTTTACATCCCCAGTTAGATGTGTGTATTTATAACATGTAGGCTATAGTCCTAGCTTGCTTCCTTGTCTATGAATCTTATGACTTTTTAATTTTCTTAAGGGTTTATTTGTTTACTATAAACCTATAAATCTATTATAATAAAAGTATTTAGCATACATATGTATGAGACCTTTCACACAGATAGTAGTTAGCATACATATGTTTGTTTGAAACCTGTCACCTAACTAGGTGGAGATTAGCTAAAGCATTAAGTCCATATATGGTCACAACTTTTAACACAGATAAAGGGGGTGTAGGTGTAGGTTGACATGAGTGTTCAGAGTTCATGCCCTTTGTAAACTTAACAGGTACATCACAAGGAAAGAACAGAAATAACAGTGTAGGACAGAAATAACAAATGTGACAATGATCTAATGTTATCACCATGTTTGTATGTCATCAGCATGTATAAACATACCAGCTTATGGTACATTTTGTGGGAAACTATGTTTGGACATAGAAGGAAGACTCAAGTACTCGACCTCTGTGAGGGGGTGACCTACCATGTCTAGAAAGCTTCTAAGTTTCTAAACTTCAGTGTTCATAAACATCAGGTTTCAAGTTTTCTCCATCTATTAGTCTGTTAGTCCTTAATTTAAAGTTTTAAGTCAGTTAAGTAAAATTCTAAGTTAGCTTTGATAGCTTTTAGCTCTTTAGCTTTTAAGTTCTGTACCTCTCATTGAAGAATTGAGGAACTTGAACTTGAACCCTCTTGGCATGTCCTTTGTCTCTTACCACTAGGTTGTCAAGGAAGGGTGAGAGTATATTAGTCAAAAACTTTATAGTATATAATATCACATGTATCACTAGAACAATATTACTGCCTTTGTAATACTGATGATTTTGCTATTTGATTATTATTCCTTTTATTTCAATAAAACTCTTGAATACTGTATTTCATTCAGTGTGAGAGTCCCCTCATACATCTCAAGGGACCTTGCAAACTCTGCGTAGCCTGATTCTGA